AAGCCGCTAAAAGGGTCTGAAAGTTGCTAAATCTAGTGCAATCTAGTGCCGCTGGTGTGTGTGAGACGCGGGAGCTGATGGTAGGGGGCGCTGGATATTTGTGGAGGTCAGTGTGGATATGTGGATATGATTGGGAATGTTGTGTATATAACATTCTAATGAGAACATTATTATAATAAAACGTTGTGCATTCTTTGGGTTTAGTTGCTGTGTTTCAGCGCGTTGTTATGGGAAGAGCGCATCCACAACAGGATCACACATTCTGACTATAGCATGCAATAACTGCGTCATTTGTCATTTCATATATAAGTTGTAATATTATGTTTATGTTGTATTAATATTAATCTCAGGATGCATTTCCTTGAGTTAAATAAGCTGCCAGCAAAACGCTTCAGTTTACCGTGTTCATTCAGCTCTTCAGCTTCAGCACGCGCAGCTCAACGGCTGCTATTTAAAACAGTGGTATTAATTTGTTACTTTTTCAAAATCATTGATATATTATTAATAACAACAACCACTTGTATTGTTCTCTTATTATTTTCATCAACAGTATGGTTTAGTAATTAAAATCATTTAATTATTGTCCGTGCAGAGGCTATTCCGTTTTATTGATCTATGGCGCATTCATTTTGATTCTTTACACGTGTAATGATGTCCAGTGACTTGTTTGCATTATTTATGCATTATTTTATTTATTTGTAAGACTTTTTTATGACTAAATTTGGTAATGGGAGAGTAAAAATATTTTTAAAACGTACACCGTTCAAACTAGGCTGCTTATGTTGAAGTGTTTGGGATGTGGCTTTTAATGATGAGACCTTTTTTGTAATCAGGCTCTCAAAAAGTATATAACAATTTGGATATAGATTTATCGGCCAACATATCGGTTATCGGCTTTAAAAAATAAAGAATAATCGGTTATCGTATCGGCCAAAATTTTCATATCGGTGCATCCCTAGTTCTATTAGTTCTACAGCTTCAGTTTCTGAACTTTCACGCTTAGTAACACATACAGCTGTTCCCTCACCACAGAGCAACAGTGAAAAGAATTCATATCATAACAAAAATAAACACCGGTATTCGGTATGAACCGGTATACCGCCCAGCACTATTGCTCACTATACAAAATAGCAAGATACATTTCAATACTTTGTTATCAGCAGATATATCAAAGTCAATTTTGTTAACAAAAGTAAATGTTCACAAAATTTTTTTAAATAATAATAAAATAAAAAGAAGAGGGTCATTCAAATGGTCTTTCTGTGTAGATATATAAGCAAGCATGACATAACCAAGTATTTTAAAGTCAGATGGCATTTCTAAAGCTTTATTCCTATTAATTAGTTAGAAGGTAGGGTCTTTAACCTTTCAAATCAAAGTCAATTTTGTTAACAAAAGTAAATGTTCACAAAATTTTTTTAAATAATAATAAAATAAAAAGAAGAGGGTCATTCAAATGGTCTTTCTGTGTAGATATATAAGCAAGCATGACATAACCAAGTATTTTAAAGTCAGATGGCATTTCTAAAGCTTTATTCCTATTAATTAGTTAGAAGGTAGGGTCTTTAACCTTTCAAAATATGTAATCATAGGTTTCCAAATTTTGTAAAATTTTTGAATGGATCCTTTTTTGACATTTTATTCTTTCTAGTTTTAAATATAATATAAAATCACAAATCCACATTTAAGTTTTTGGTGGATTTTTAAATTTCCATTCCAACAATATTCTCCTTGCTAATTATTTATTTGTTTTTTTAACAGTAATTTTGTTTGTTTTTAATTATTTGAGTGATTAAGAAAAATATTTTGCCCTCAATTAAAAACATATATATTTTAATAAAATAAATTCAAATTCAAACTAATGATGGAGGAGTTTCATGACATTTAAATGATTAAAATACACTTTTTATTATTATTTTATGGAATATAAAAATAATAATATTATTATTATTATTACATTTATTCTTTATATTATTGTATTATTTTTTAATGTTCAAATATTTGGGTGAATACAAAAACACATTTTTTGCCCTAAAATTTTATGTGTGTGTGTGTGTGTATAAACTAAAAAAATGTAAATTGAAAAATAAAAATTAGTGCGCTTTACAAGAAAATACTATTTCTGCCTTTCTGCTTCAAAATTTCACGTTTAAAGTCCCCATGAAATCAAATTAAAGTTTTTTTGGGTATCAATATGTTAGTCTTAAGGTTATCTATAAGGCAGTGTGCTCCAAAACAGTGACAAAATTCGCATTTAGAAGATTTAAGCATTCAAAGCTTGCACTTCCACCAAAACGGCTCAACGATTTTCTTTGACGTCACATCATACTTCAGCTTCTCATCAAATCTTCTGACCAATCAAACGCTCTCTAGAAGCCGAAGCGCCTGCCCCCTACACTATATATAGATCTGAAGCTGCGGCTGAGATCGGTCGCTTTGTTCACAGTGTAGTATTTCCAGTACAGTGAATGGCACGTACTGTACAATGCAGGTGATAGGGAAGGATTCAGACAGTGCAAATATGCTTTCGATTGGGGCAAATGAGGTCTGGTTTCACAAAATTCGCATTTAGAAGATTTAAGCATTCAAAGCTTGCACTTCCACCAAAACGGCTCAACGATTTTCTTTGACGTCACATCATACTTCAGCTTCTCATCAAATCTTCTGACCAATCAAACGCTCTCTAGAAGCCGAAGCGCCTGCCCCCTACACTATATATAGATCTGAAGCTGCGGCTGAGATCGGTCGCTTTGTTCACAGTGTAGTATTTGTTGTACAGTGAATGGCACGTAGTGTACAATGTAGGCAATAGGGAACAATTCAGATAAAGTAAATATGCTTTAGATTGGGGCAAATTAGGTCTGGTTTCACGTGAACCGCAGCAGCGCACACAGTCTGATCCGGACTTCGGTCCAGAGACGTGATCGCACGGAGCGAATCATATGCATGAGTCGGCATATATTAAACACTTTTAATACTACACAGCCTCAGCATGATTATGATCACTATTTTGTTTTACTAAGAGTTTCATATTGAATCTAGGGTGTAATCTATTCGGATGTGGCTTTACCGAGCTCAGCGGCTCTGACCCGTGCAGATATAAACAAAACGCTATTGGCTAATTTAAAAAGGGGGCGGGGCTGCTTGATATGTCCCGCCCTGTCTTCCTGTTTCAGTTGAAATTATGTCACCACATAGAATAACGCTGCGTGTTTCAAGGCACTTCAGGGGACCTTTAAATCAATGTTTTGTGCAGTTTATTAGCAGTTTTTGAGTGAAAATGGTTTCAAAGTAAATCCTACACTTATTTTTTTTTTTTTACAGTGTAAATACAATTTTTTCCCCCAAATGAGAGATAGGTAAATAGATAGAGTTGTTCCGGCTTTAATGTATTAGGGGGGAAAAGACCAGGGATTAAGGCATCTGCTAAATGAATGTAAATAAGCACAAGTGTTTTTTTCTCCAGTGTTCCAGATGTTGAGGAGATCCTGTCTGAGGCCGATGTGAAGCTGGATGGTGTGAGGCAGAAGATCGGCCAGATAGCAGAAGAACTGAGAGGAGAAGATCTACACCAGTTTCACAGAGCATTTACACCAGGTATGACCACAAACACTTACAATGGCCAGCGGATGTGTCATGTGACTAAGTAATATTTATATTACAATACATTTGCAGTTTTGTAAACTTTAAGAAGATGATATATATATATATATATATATATATATATATATATATATATATATATATATATATATAT